GGAACAGCCGGTAGTTTCGAACTGCTGACCTTAAGGTTCACAGCCCGATTCGTAACCACTACGCTAATGTATAAGTAAGTAACATAACTACTCTTGGAAATTTATAGCTACTAAAATAAGTTCAAACATCTGACATTTGCAGCAGTATTTTTAAAATGCTGTACAGTGTTCAGTGGGAAAAAAGATAAAATATAAAAACTTTATTTTTGTTAGGTGCTATTGAGTTGGTTTTAACTCATAGCAACATTGTATAGGGTTTCCAGTCTTTCTTCTGCAGCTTAGCTGGTGGGCTTGAACTGCCAACCTTGTGGCTAGCAGTCCAGTTCTTACCCTACAACACCACCAGGACTCCATAAAAATTTTAGTATGTTAAATATGATTTCAACAATATTTAAGAGTCAAAAAAGAAATCTATTGGTGAAGGGACTAGTATATTCCAAAATACTAGCTGTATTTAGCAAAAGTACTATACTGGTGGTGGTGGCTGTGTGCTGTGGAGTCGATTCCAACCCACAGCGACCATGTACAGGGTTTCCGAGGCCGTAAATCTGTACAGGAGCAGTGTAATAATAAACACAAACCCTGGTAGCACAGTGGGTAAGCCCTCTGCTACTAACTGAAACGTCAGTGGTTCAAAGCCATCAGCCACTACATGGGAGAACGAAGTGGGTATCTGTTTCTGTAAGGATTTGCAGCCTGGAGCCCCACTGGGCAGTTCTACTCTGCCCTGTAGGGTTTCTGTGAGTCTGAATCGACTCTACAATAGTGGGATTGTTGTTGTTGTTTAATAAATCTACCAAATTTAACGATGAATTGATAAGTGCCTTCAAGTCAGTTCCAACTCATTGAAACCCTGTATAGGGTTTCCTGGGAGAGACTGGTGAGTTTTAACTGCCCACCTTGCAGTTCAAAACAACCTTGCAGTCGAGTGTTTATCCTACAGTATCACACCTAGTAGTTGAATAAAGCATAATAAATACAAGTTAGGTGCCATCAAGTCAGTTCCGACTCATAGCAACCTTGTATAGAATAGAATGAAGCACTGCCCAGTCCTACGCCATCCTCACAGTTGTTATACTTGAGCCCTTTGTTGCTGCCATTGTGTTAATCCATCTCTTTGGGGTCTTCCTGTTTTGCACTGACCTTTCACTTTACCGAGCATGATAACCTTCTCCAAGAACTGGTCCCTCATTCTGGCAATACTCTTTTCAAGACAGATTTGTTTATTCTTCTGGCAGTCAGTAGTACTTTCAGTAAATACATGTATACAATAAACATATACTGTGAAAGTGGGTTTTCGGTGGAAAAACAT